CAGCATCTTTGCAGATAGGTGATGCCTGCCCTACAGTTAAAACCAGTTATTTTTCACCCAGTTATTACATAACAGGCATTGCTACAGATTGTATGCTGTAGGGTTCACAATGCCTTTAAGAAGTCTTTAAAACGGTGTTAAGATCAAAATAATTTTTTATCTGTTCATTAGTATTTCTAACAGCAGAAGGTAATCATTTCAACCACTGAAAACGGCTCTAGTGACATGATTAAAGAGTTATACAATGATTAATATGGCTTCTACCTAATTTGCATATGCAAGAAGAAAAGAAATATCCTCAGAACATCTCAGCTACAATAACAGAATTACTACACACTGTCATATCATTTCACGTGCGCCAGGAATGACTATGCACTAAAAGAAAAAGCTCACACACTTGACTGCTGCAGTGAAAGTTTCTGAACAGATAGCACTCACGTATCCCCAATAAAAGCAAGAAAAACTGTGAGTCTATCCCACTCTTCTTGAATTTCAAAGCATCAAGTGTAGCTTTCAGAAGAAATAAGAGATGTTTAACAGCTCCTGAGTGGGTTTAACAGATCTAAGCAATGGCTTGTACACATAAAGATGTCTATGCCCCCTCGACTCCTCATATAATCCCCCATTGTCACCAGCTGGCACAGACACATATCCCCATGTTAAGTTTTGCCTCTGAGTTCGAGCAGAGTTTTTAGCACAGTTTCAAAGAGGGGAGCAGCCCCGCTCCACCGCTGGATCTGCTCAGGAGAAGCCCTGCCCTCTCCCAGCAGCAGGCCCGGCCTACAGCCCCCGCACTGAGGGGCGTCCGGAGAGGTGACAGTCACACTCCGACAGACCCTTCCCACTGCATCAGCCACAGGGCTCGACAGTGCTGCGCTAGCAGTTATGCTCAAAATACACAGGTGCAGCAGAAGCAAGGCAGGCAGCAGTACCGAGCGAGGGATCTAAAGCTTTCAAAAAGTTATTGAGGATTATGTCTGATCAGAGGGAAACAGTTCCTTTGCTCTTCTCTTCTGCTCATAAAATCTTGACAAAGAAATAAATCACACTAATTCTTCCCAACCAGAAAACCATTCCATGTTCTAGTGCTGTCTTTTTCTCTCTAGAGTATTGCAGAAAGTTTCCTTAGAACAAAGTAGGCCAAGAAGCAAGATACAAATATTTCTACTGAAAAAGAAATCTACTTCTCCATAATATTTCTGCAATTTATTCGAACAGAATACAATGGAATTACCACCTTTATAGCTAACCCACCCCATATCTGAGCCCTTTTCTGTATAGCACTGAATTGTTACTATACTATGTAAAGAGCAAGCACTACTGGAATATACACAGTGAAGGAAAAAAAAGTAAAGCTCTTCTTGCCAAAGTAACCATTTTCTCTACTAATGTGTCATCTAGAAAAATAAGGTCTAGGCAACGTCCAAAAGTGTTCAAGTTTCAATAAATAACTATCAATGCCCCAAGTTTGCACTGGCACAAGAAATATGGAGCGTACAGTTTAGAAAAGTATTTTCACTGACTTAGCAATGCATTTCATCCTGCTTAAGATTCACAACAAAAATAATTTCCCTCCGGGGTTCAATTTTAAAATCAAAGCCGTCTAAGTGCAAGAGCACCCACATAGCTGTCTTAACTCTCAACAGCAAATTAAAGCTCTAGAGAAAGACGATATTTTAAAAAAAGTTCTTTATCAATACCAAGAAAATATACATAGCCATATGTATGTTTTAAATATATACACGCACATCTTTTCAAAAGGGTATGATTCTGGCTTTTTTTTTAAGTTTGAAAAGCTTATCCATTGCTATACAGTTCAGTAAGGTGTATTAGGAAACACACTTTTTATATCCCCCATGAAAATAAAGTTGAATCTTTCTGTAAACAGGACTTCCCTTAATTTCCAAAATCTCTACAGACCTCAAGTATTTCACTGAATAAAAAACAATCACCCGCCCCAAAACCACCCACGGAGACCCTCGCTGCCGAGACCACGGAAACGCCTAGCGACACCCAGCTCCTGCAGCCGCCTTCTCCGGGCGCAAATAAATAATAATAATTAATAACAACAGAAGCTCGGCGGCGGGCAGCACCTCGGCCCCGCGGCGGCGGCGACGGGCGGGCACGGGGCCGGCTGGCG